CTGGCATAAACACAGGCTGTGCCGGAGTGGGAGCCTTCTCCCAGGAAGGTGTGTGTGCTCTGACTAGAACAAGACTGCTACTACCACGGGCAGTGTGTTGGGTTGTGTGGATCCCAGAAATGCTTGTAATTTCAAAGTTCAAAATGAGCCCAAGATAGGCTGTGAGAACTCCAGGTTGGTGTAATTTGCCCTCCTTTGGCCTCTAGCCTTTGTCTGATTTCGTGCTGAATATCAGAGCTCAAAAGCTCTTATGTCTCCTAAGGCCACCAAAGGAATCTTTTGGCTTCTGTTGGGAATGCCTTCACTATTTGGTAATGAGAAGGTATTTTCCTGTGACACTGACATGGCTAAACCCACAGCCTCTGTTGGGTTTGGTCTCTAATGACATTCACCAAGTGTACTGAGGGGAAGTCTCTCATGGAAAACAACTTCTGAAATGGTTTGTTGTGATTTCTAAGCTTATAAGATGAGCCCTTTGGTTATCTTCTACAAATGCTCCCCCGTGTCACCTGATTCCACTGTCACTGCCTTCAGAGTGACAGAAAGGATCTGTGTTTGGAAGGAAATATCTTGCATTTCCATCTTGAATGTGACATGATCCCCCGTGATGGCTTTGATGGGATTTTCCTTTCTATCACTTAATATTCCATCAGGAAAGTCCTTCAAGCCAATGTTACATTCAGCAGGCATTTTGAGGGAGGCTGGCAATCAGGTATTCAGTTAGAATTACTGTATAAAATGAAATTATCAAGAAGTTAAATTCTTGGTCACGAATCTCCTGAATACTGTGATGCAGCCCAGGGACAACCTTAGAAAAAGGAAACAACTGGATTTTTTGTTGTTCTATTTGTCATGACCTTGGCTGGGACTCCCAGTCCATATATCATCCATGACTTGGTCAGCAAAAATGTACTGACAACCTCAGTGAGGTTCTGCATGTCCCCCAGGGTGCAGGCAATGCAAGGGGCAGCACTGCCATGGCTTTCTGCAAGCTTTGCAAATTGATGTGCCATTGTTCTGCCACCAAAATCTGACTCATGGAACTCACTGGGTCTGGCAGGGTTTACCCAAAACACCATGGGGTGGAGGTGCTTTGTTTTCTGCTGTCAGGGACTTTGTTTTCAGCTGGGAAAGGTTTATTGATTGTGGTGGTTTGCTTGTAGTAGGGAGGAGGTGGAGCCAGAAGAGATCTAGATAGAGCAAAAGGTATTTTTCTTTTAAATGACTGTTGTGAGTCTTAATGTTTTCTGGTATCTGGATGTGTTGGGAATATCTTGGGCGAGTTCATTGAGCTGCATTGATTCCAGATACTTAGCACAGGAAATGGCCCTTTCCCTTGCAGCCTGCTTCCCCATGATCCCTCAGGGGATGTAAAGGCCTCCATCTCCCCAGTTTCAGCAGGGGCTTATCTGAGGTCATCTGCTCAGATTGAGGTCATCTGCTCAGATTGAGGGCATCTGCCAAGGGTGCAGCACAAATGCTCTGACTCAGGGAGGAGTGACAGGTCTCACCCAGGAGTCACTGGTGCTGTGGGACAGAGTCCTGCATTGGCAGCTGCTGGAGGTGGCCTTGGAGCCCAGCTTCTCTTCCACCCTCTCCTCCTTCCCCAGACTGAAAACTTTGTCCCTTCTTCTCCCCGGGGTTTCCAGTGATTCAGGCTTTGAAAAGGGTCCAGTCCTCTGAGTTCAAGGTCTGAACAGCCTCTGCAGATGGCTACAAGGCTTGGAGTGGGGAACCTGTGCTCTGGAAGTGTTCCTTCACCCTTCTCTCCCCAGCAGCTGGGCTGACATTGGCTCTCAGGCATTGCTATATAAAAGACTTGCAGATGTGTGTGGTCCCTATAAAAATAAATCTCCAAAGGAAACAAATGTTATGTGGTGAAAGTCTGCCAAGTCCCCGTTGCCTATTAGCTCACAGTATTATGTAGGAGAAACTTAACTCTATAGTCTGATATAGGATAATTCTTCGATGAACTCTCAGCTCTTTCGAAGATTCAGATTTAAAGGCTGTTGCTCTATAGGGTCAAGACTGAGCCATTGGCTTTATGAGCTCTCAGTCATCAGTGCCTTGACACATTTGGCAGAGCCCTGAAACAGTAATTTGTCATTTCAGAGGGTTTCGGTGTGTAAGTTCACATCAAGCAAAGCTTTGAAAGCAGTGATCGGGGATGACAATTTCAAAGCAGTCCAGAAGAACAGAGGTTAAAATAAGAAATGTAGTTAAACACGTGCTTCTAAATAGACTGACTAGAAAATGTTGATCCAAGACTTCCTCCAAAGGCAGTGACCACTTGATTTTTCCATAGTTCTCATCTGTGATACAGCCAGGCCTTGGCTCCCTATCACCCTAACTTATATCCTGTTCAGAAAATGTGCTGGGCTATCAGATACAATTTTTTATAGAAGTCAGGAAGCTGCATAGCAAAGCAACTGAGCATTGGCACAAAGTACTTGAGACTGCAACTTCTCATGATGCTAGAAACTGGATTTTCTAGATGCATGTGAAGAAATTAGCACAAAACATACCCTTTTACCTGTAGTCTGTCCCTTTCCAAAGTGTCACAGTTGCTCAGCAATGTCAACAAACATGTCTTTATATGGATTTAGTTACACAGGCAAAAGTCTAAATGTTAATGTTCTGGAGGAAAGATGATTCACTTGATTTAAAGCTGATTATTTAATCTGAAGAGCTAAATTTATTCTTTCCTTTACAGCTAGATGAAATTATTGATGGGGAGAAGAATTTTCTTTCCAATTCTCCATCACTGATGCTGCCTAAAATTGTTTAGCTTATGGTGTCTCAGAGGGTGAGTCTCTTCTGATGTAAATAGGTTTTGACTAGCATTAACTCCTTAAGGCCAGTGGAGAAGCTCTTGTGCCTGACCAACAGAAATGAAGTCAGGAGTAGGCCCTTGCATTTGTCAAGAAAGAGCTGCTTATTTCTGTGCCAGTGTCTGTAGCACGAGATGATCCTGTTCTCACTTCAAGAGAAGCAAGGATGGTGTGATTTCACTGAGAACGTGTGAAATCAGTCTGGCTCTGGGGCTGTTCACCTCTGATGATGCTCTGGCTGCTGAGATCCCTCTGGTCTTGTGGCAGGATTAAAGAAGGACAATTGTACTGAAGGTGATTTGGGCACCATTTAGGAGTAACTCGAGGTTTTGCCCAAGAGCATAACCATCCTTTGCTATAAAAAACTTGTCCTTCAGCTGAGGACAAATACAAGTTCTGTTGCTGGAGTAATTCTGCTTTTAAAAGGAAGTGCCTGTGCTTCAAAAAGCTTCTGAGAATATCCTGAGCAGATATGTCCATATAGACATGCTGCATCTCACCAGCAGATGTAGAAAGAAGTCAAGAGCCATCTATTAATGCTGTTTGACACTCACTGCTGTCCTCAGAACTTGTCAAACTTGGGAGATTAATACATTGTGGTACAATTCCACTGGCTTTACATCACCCTGCCAGGTAGTATCCATCACCCTGGGGTAGTATCCAGATCCTTAGACATCATCCCCAACAGTGTGCTGCTTCTCTGTCAAAGCTCTGTGTGCCACTGAAGACTGAATTTAGTCTGCTTTTCTCTATTTTTCCCATTACTGTACTTGGCACACGCATAATGATTTATATCTTTGGCAAATTTTTAAAGCATGGATAAATTTATATTTACAGCAGTATTGTGGTAAAGGAAAGAATTGTTAACCCTGGACAGATTAAGCTCCTGGTGATGAATGGCCAGGAATTATCTAATTTGGAATAGAGAAGGCTTGAAGTCCCACATACCTCTTGCAACTGGATCCAGAGACCTACTGAAATATGCCCTGGAGAGCACAGACCCTGTTCTTCCCCGTGTTCCTCTCTGCAGTGATCCCACCACGCACATAAGGGAGCAGCCAAGAGCTTTAGCAGAGGATGCATGGGAGCCTTTGAATAAAAGGGCGGTTTCATGGAATAAGAAACTTTTTCCAAATGTCATGTGTGAAAGCTGCTGGAAGACAAAGACAAGCTCTCAGTGGGTTTGTGTCAGTGTTGCCTGGACTATCATGTACAGGGCAGACAAAGCTGGAATAAATACCAACTTCTTCTGTGTAAATGTGATACTGCTGTGATGTGCCAAAATGACAACATCTGATGTTTTCACTAGAAACAGACACAGCGTTGTTAGGAAAGATTTCCTTCTACAGATGGGAAGATTCCCATTTCCAAATCTCATTCTTTTCTAAAATAAAGGTGGGGCCAGCACCCATGGGGTTAGGAGCAGGGTTAGTTGTGCTGCTCTTCTAACTGCAGGATAGAAATCTCCACCCAGAAAGCAGGTGAAAGATTTTGCTGTCAGAGAAAGAACCCAGCACAATTTTGTAACAGCTGGGTCCTCCTGCAGTGGAAATTGAAAAATAAACTTCTCATAATTTGAGATATGAACCACATTGGATCTGTTTGGTTAAGCTTGTGTCGAATGACTCCATCCTGAATCTCCTGGGGATTTGAATGAACTGGGATTCAGCGCTCTGGCTTTGGCTTGTGTCCAGTGTTAACAGAGAAAAAGAATCCAGGGGCACCTCATGCAGAACCAGCAAGTGAACCCTCCCTTTCTGCTTGCCAGTGTAAACCAGGAATGCTGTGTAAAACCAGTACAGGAGCAGGACTGTGCCCAGTTCCACTGGTCTGTGCTTGTCTTAGTTGCCTTCCTAACACACTGGAGTCTTGTGCCAGCACTGTACCACACTGCAGGATTGTAGCCATGACCCTCCTGTACTGCTGATCCTGTAGTATTGGGGCATCAGTCCCATTACCTTTTTCTTTTTTTTCTATTTTTTTTTTATTTTTTTGGTGGGGCCAGATACTCTCTTGCTGCAGTTGGATCCAAGGGGAAATTCGCATCTTTCCAAACATCACCCCCGAACCTGCCCCTTTAAACATTTTATTTACCCATCTGTTAACCTATCCAGAGCTGGAATGAACACACCTTTTTACCCTCAAACACAGACTACAAGCAGGCTACTGATGGTGAGGGTAAAAATCACTGAGGCAAAGTTACCGCGAAGGGATGGAGCAAGGCACTAGGACCTAGGAGGCGTCTCATCCACCCTGGCAGGAATTTCTTGCTTGGAGCTCAGACAACAAAGGCAGAGTGAGCCTGGTTTTCTTTCTCTCAGCATCTCCACCCTGAGCGCTGAAAACCGGTGAGTAGAGCTTTTTTCGAGTGACTTGCATGCAGAAAAGTAACAGAAAGGAGGAATCTTTTCTTAGTGCCTTACAGCATCTGCAGTTCATTTTAAAATCAAACCCCCTGCATCCTCTGATTCATTCCCGAAGTTGCTTGGATGTTTCATTGTTCAGTGCATGACACCAGATTGAATTTACCCTAACTGGCATTGTGGGGCAAATGTTCCCAGGCTGGGGTTTCTCTGCAGATGGGCTGTATTGTCATCTGCTTCACTGCAGACTGGGCACAATGATTTTTGCCTGCACAGGTCACGTTGACATTGTAAAATACAGGGAAGGAGCTTCGTTCTGGCAAATGTAAGGGGTGGGGAAGAGATAGCAACAGCTTTTCCTAGATTTATACCTGGCTGCCAAGTACTGGTGTAAATCCCCTTTCAGCCCCGTGTTAACATGCAAGCAACATACATGAGTTGCACGTTCCTGATTGAGCTGAGGGAGTGGAAAGGTCTCTATTGCAGGGTTGGGGGGTTCCTTCTCCTTTTGCGTTGGGGTTTGGTGCGGGAGGAAGGTTGTTCCTGAGCATAAACTAGAGACTGTGCAAAATTCCTGCTTGCTGGGTGTCAGCTCCAGTCTCAGCTTTTCTGTGCTGGGAGCCCCCGCACTCAGAACAATGAAAGGTGAGGAGCAGGGGCGGCGTGTCCCTGGGGCACGGGCACTTCCAGCAATTAAATCACTTAGGGCTGGAAGGGGGAGGTGGAAATAGCCCCTTTATTTTCTCCTCCTCATTAAAGGGGAGCAAAAATGCAATTCAGAGGAGAATAAGGCTGAAAAGAGCTTACCGAAGCTGCGTTTCAATGACAGATTTTCCTTTGCAGTCATTTTTTCTCAGAGATGTAGGCTGGTCTTGGGAATTGATTGATGGGCTAGGAGGGGGCTGCGGATAGGGGGAAGGGTGGGCTGGATCTCATTGCTAACCCTTATTGAACAGGCTGTCACAAAGAAACTGCTTATTCCCCTGTGACCATTCTTTCATAAATGCCAGTTTATTCTAATGTTAAACATTCAGATGCTCTGGGTCCTTCCGTGATTCGACAGACTGAAGGGCTGACTTACTGGGATCTCCTTGTTTTCTGTTGCCAAAGGAAACCTCCCAGGGCTCAGAGATTTAATTCATTGCCAACTGGTGTTCAGATGAGTTTTTGGGGCAGAGTTGTGATTGCCACGTATCTCTTTGGCCCCAAGTCCCAATTTATTGCACTTTGAAAACTCCCAGGTGCAGGAGCAGACAGCTCCCTAGAAACGTGCTCCCTGCCCCCAGTAGCTGGATCCCTTTCAAAATGCGAGGACCCCTCCTACTCTCAGTCCCCGGAATCGATACAAATCTGGGTCAGGGGAGGGGGCTCTTCCCAAATGCATCTGTCCTGCTCCACACACAGCCTTTGCATTAGTGTCGGTTTTCTCTGAAATTTGTGGCTCTGCTTGATTCTAACCCCTCCCTTTGCACTCTTTCTCTCCCCATCTCCTTCCTGCCCAGCTTCAGATCTTTAGGGTTCACCAAACTATGGAACTTGATTTTGGACACTTTGACGAAAGAGACAAGGCGTCCAGAAACATGCGAGGCTCACGGATGAACGGGTTGCCCAGCCCCACTCACAGTGCTCACTGTAGCTTCTACAGAACCAGGACCTTACAGGCGCTGAGTAACGAGAAGAAAGCCAAGAAGGTGCGTTTCTATCGCAACGGGGACCGCTACTTCAAGGGGATTGTATATGCCGTGTCCTCTGACCGCTTCCGAAGTTTTGATGCCCTCCTGGCCGACCTGACCCGGTCCCTGTCCGACAACATTAACCTGCCTCAGGGAGTCCGTTACATTTACACCATCGATGGGTCGCGGAAGATCGGGAGCATGGATGAGCTGGAGGAAGGTAATTAGCATCGCTGCCTGGTGCAGTGAGGAGGCGGGGTGGGAAGGGGGCTGCACCACTCGGGTCTGCCGATAAGGTCACATTTCCTCGGGCGAGAAGCAGGGGATGCTTCTGCCCCGCTGTGCTGAACCTGCCCGCTCGCCTTCCCCTCCCGAGCGGTGCGGGAGGGGCCGGCGGTGACACCCCCGCGGTGTCCCCAGCGCGCTCGCTCGGCTGCGGATGTGCAACCAGAGGGGTGTGTCTGCTCTCGGCTAGACATGGCTGTGTCCATGGCTCCGGGGCTGTCTGAGGGTGTCCCCACGTCTGTCCGGGCTGGGGAGCCGGGGGGGTGGTCCCCGACGGGTGCAGGGGGTGGCCGGGAAGGGATGTGGGTTTCCCGCCGGGGTGGATGGGGTTGAATGGAAAAGCGAGAGGTGCTGAGGCGTTCATGTAGTGGGTGTGCGAATGGGCGTGGGAAGGATTTATGCACTCTGGGTACAGGGGTGTTTTTGGGGGTATTATGCACACAAGGTGTGTGTGCACAACCCACAGGGGTGTGGTCAGGGCTGTGCGGGGACTTGGGTGTTTGTGGAGGGGGTGTTCGGGGTGCAGGCACTGTGTGGATGATGGACGTGTGGAAGGCGGGGTGCTGGGGGTTTTTAGTGCTTGGAGTGTGTGGAAGGGGGTGTTGGAAGTTCACAGAGCATGTTTAGGAAGGGGAGTTAATGAAGAAGGCTTTTGTGTGGAGAAGGGTGTTTTGAGCAGGTTGCACTTGGTGAAATTTGGGGGTTTATATGTTTGTGAAGGGTTGATTGCAGAGGAGGTGCTGGGATTTCTTCAGGGTGTTCATGCACAGGGTGTGCTCTGGGGTTTGTGCTCAGGGAGTGTGTAGAGGTGTGTTGGGCTGTGTGTGTGTGAGGGGAGTGCTGGGGAGGTCTTGCAGAGCGATGTGTGTGGAGAGGGCGTTGGGAGCTCATGTGCTGCGTCTGAATATGGTCCGTGCAGGGTCTGTGTGGAAGGGAGGTGCCTTGAGATGTTCAAATGTGTGTGTGTGTGTGTGTAAGGGGGTGTATTTGAGGAGTGTTTCTGCAGGGACTGTGTGGTGGGTGGTTGCTGTGGTAGGTCTGGGGGCAGTGTGGGAGGGCATCCCCTGCATGGCAGGTCTGAGTGTGCCCCTGTATGTAGAGGGGGTGTCAGTGTGCTGGTTCCTCTGCATGTCACTTGGACTGTGGGATGAAGAATGAGTCAAAAATCAAACCTTCTGCTCAGAAGGCGTGACCTGGGGGCAGGGTTGCTCCTGTGGAGCTCGGCTGCCAGCTGTGTCTGTGCCTGGGGTGCTCCCTCTGCAGCAGTGGGTGCTGCCTTTCCCATGGAGTCTCAGGAGGACCCCAGGAATGCAATGGCTTCAAGGCCAATCCTTCTTCCTTGCCCAAGGCATGACTGTGGGCAAGCTCTGCTGGCAGCAGAGCCAAAGTGGTGTGCACAGAGGGCACCCACAGCCACCTTGATTTTCTCTTCCTCAGGCAATTCAGACATTCCATTCTTTGTTTGGACCTGTAATATCCTGAGTATTCTTTGCAAGAGGGGAATTGCTCTTCACTGTTCCTTGGTGTTTTCCTCCAAGCAGATGACCTGGTTGATTTGGTAACTATTGAAAATCCAGAAGGCTTTTGCCTTTAGTAAAAGACAATGGATGTGTGTGAGGCATGAACTGCAGGGGCAGCCTCAGCAGTGAGTCATTGTGTGACCTTGACTAAAGCATCTCTCCCTAGAATTCCTTGTCTGTCAAGTGGGATACTCATTTCCCCAAAATACTTCGTGGGGGACAAGCACACAGAAGAGATATTGTTTTCCACAGAGGAGTTTTCCTGGGAAGAAATCACTGCCTTTCAGAGTGATGATGTATCCTAGTGGAGTTATTCTCAGCACAGTTACAGCTGTCAAATGGAGGTGTGGCCTCTCTTAATTTTAGAGATTCTGCCATGTTTCATTCTGGTCTCTTAATATGGCCACAGCCTTTCTCTAATGGCAGCTCTCAGCCCTGCCTATCCTCAATTTAATGTAAATCTTCATATATAACTCCATGGAAAAATGCAGTTCTTTATTCTCTTTTTATACTCTTCCTCTTCTGTCAGTGAAGTTAAGAAACCTTTGTTATACCTGCTTTACACTGGGTTTTGCTGTAGCAAAGAAGGTACCTAGTTCATGAAAATATTTTTTGCTGGTTAAGGTACAGATGGGAGATGCTGGCATTTGGGTTCTGGCTTTGTTCTGCCAAAATGGTATCTGGAAACAGCACTGAAGGAGGCATTAAAACCACACCAGAATTGTCTGTGTGGCTGTGTCCTCAGCAGAGCAACAGCTAGGAAAATGTAACATGAGCAGAGTGAAAACAAAGGAACCCAGTGTTTGAAAATGCCAAAGTTGGTCTGTATGCTGTTATTGACAGTTTAACAACAACAATATTCCATATTTCTAGGGATGACCTATGCATCTATTGCAGAAAAGCAATTTACAATATCGTAGTTGTAAAAAACCTTGTGGTAAATTCTGCTGTTAGTTTGGGTGTTTGTATAACTGTGTACTGGATACATGCATGGAAAACCAGAACTTGGGAGTTACACTTGGCTGTGACATACAAGAACAGTCACACACAGTGTATGTCTGCCATATAAATTAGCTTTCTGCTTGGAGACTGTGGGTAACTAAACTAGTTCTAGTTGCTATAATGTGACTAATTTATTATTGTAATTTCCAATAAACAAGTAGAGCATAGGAAAAATCATCAAAGAGGCTCATCTCAGTGGTTTTACTGCAAAAGCTGGTGAATTACTGATAATATTCCACATCATGTTCTAAGTACTTGATTACTTCTGCATGGTTTAAAAACGTGCTTATATAGTGTAGTCTGAATTTAATCCTGGAGGGTAGAGAATGATATTACACAGTACCAATATCCTACAGACAGACATCTCAGGTGAACAAAACCCACCTGGTGTGCTGCTGATTAACTGGGGCTGGGCAATAACCCTTTTGTTCTCCAGACCCAGAGCTGGTAGTCTTCTTCCCTGGCATTCAAGGTTGTTCTCCTAAGGTTCTGGATGGATGTTTTACTTCTCAGCTTGTCCAAGATGTAACAAGGGAAGTCTGCTCTCATCCCTCCTAGTTGCCAGTTGGGATGTGCCTCTTGGTCTTTTCCTGAACTGAACCCTAATGCTTCACACTTTGGAAGCCCACAGGACTCTCTCACATAGGTGCTTTTTGCTGCCTGCTGAGTTTTTCCTCAGCTGTCACAGGCTACTTTTTCCATACTGTACCAGCGAGCTGTCTGGTCTCCCAATGACCTTCTCTCAAAATCTACTTGCCTGATCATTTTTCCTCCCTCCTTTCACTCCTAGTGACCATCTTCCATCATTACCTTAAACCTGACTCCCTATTTTCAGCATTCAGTTTTAATGTATTTGTAAATAATGCACATGCTGCCATTGATTAGGACTGTATTCCTCCTTAACCTGTGTGCTGGTTAAGTGCAGTACAGCATCCTGTTACTGCAGTTACAGCTGATCCTGGTGACAGGTAACCTGCTGACAGCATCTCTCACTTGTGTGCTGTCTTGGCTGAGTCAGGAGTGGATGTTGGGCCCAAGTGCTGCTATTCATCGTGGCTGGTTTAGGCAGTAAGTGAATCTTTTGGAAAAGAGCACCAGGTGATCTTTATTCCCATTCATATTATAATTGGTTCCAGTGACCAAAGCTTCAGGAGGTCAAAATATGAAGCTGCATTTATTGGCGAGTCACTGTTGTAACAGATAATTCTGTGCCTTGTGCTGTGATGAAACCTGCATATGAAAGATGCTAAAAAAAACATGTGCCATCCTTTCCAGGTGTTCTCAAGCTGATTGTAGAGCAGCTCACACTGTCATCCAAGTTTCTGCTAAAATCTAGTTCTTTTGACATCTGGGCAGGGTGGTTTGTTCCTTGGTTCCTTTTGAGCCCCTATGTTCCTGTAGACTCAATGTGATGAGATGGAAATTCTCCCACCTCAGCTCTGGTTGCTCTTTGTCTTGGAATGGAGGGCTGGGTAAAGGTGGAAGCTGATGTTGTACATGGACTTCAGCAGCAAAGATGGCTTAAGAAATGCTGCTCTTAGCCACATGTTCTGGGCCCCATTGTCCCACAAATGAACTCTTTGTGGGACAATAGATTTTTTTATCCCTCTCCATAATTTTGCTGCTTTCTCATGTGGCCCAATAGCAGCTTCTTGACATAATGAAAAGGACAGTGAGGCACAGCCCGAGAGTGAGAGAAAGGCACAAGTCAGACTCCTGGCTGCTGAAGCCATTGCAGCTCCCAGTTAATCTCAGTACTGGTTTGTTTCCCCTGTGGGGAGGGACTGACACTTCCTCAAAAGCCAAATTTCTCACTTGTAAAGCTTGGACATCCATCACCATGTATTTAGAGGCACCGACTGAATGGAGCATCCTACTGTTCAAGGCACTGGTTCAGAGTGTAATGACAGATAACTCCTGCCCAGGGAGGTTCTGATGTGAACATGTGGGGGTGGAAGAAGGTGTTATCACTGATGAGGAACTGAAATGCAGAAAAACAATTCTACCTGTTGTGCAAAGCCCATCAATGACACTAAGATGGAAGTCAGAGCTCTAAGCTTCCTTGTTCAAGTGCTTTCATTCCCCTCCTGAGCCTTTTCCAGTGTTTGGTCAGTGGTTTGCAAGTACTTACATCTTACAGGTTTTTTGTTATAAGTGGAATTGTGACCTGCTTTTAGTCAGTGGCTCATTTCCTGTGAATTAAGTGCCCTTTGCTGTGCATGGTCGGGGTCAGAAACACATGTGCAAATAAGCCCATCAAATACAAATATCATGTATTAGACATGGCCAACAAAGGCAGAAATGCAGACATAGATTAAAACTAAAATTTGAGACTCAACATTTAGTTCAAGCTGTAGAGCTTTTCCCTCCTGAGCTCCTGGGATGCTCAGGCTGTTGGGAAGGGCACAACCTC